AGTCTCAAAGAAACTTATTAAGCTTTACAGATATTCATTTGAATGGATACCATATATGAGACAACGAAGGAAAGAGGTACTGAATACCTTTATATTACATCTATTATATCGGGTAAAAAATGTGTATTGAAAAAATTACCCACTTGTCCTCTGGAATGTACTACTCAAAAATTAAAATGATTGAAACTTATGCTATAGTAAACTAAAAGTTTACTGATAATTAAATGTTTGGCAAGACCAGTTAGGTCATCCTGGATTAATAATGATTAAAAAAATTATCTAAAATTCATGTGGTCATCCATTGAAAAATCAGAAGATTTTTCAATCTAATGAATTCTCATGTGTTGCATGCTCTCAAGGTAAATTAATTATAAAGTCATCACCAGCTAAAGTTGGGATTGAATCCCCTGCATTTTTGAAACTTATTTAGGGTGATATATGTGGACCCATACATCCACCATGTGGACTATTAAGATATTTTATGGTTTTAATTGATGCATCAACAAGATGGTCACATATGTGCTTATTATCAACTCGTAATTTGACATTTGCAAGATTACTTGCACAAATAATTCATTTGCAAGCACATTTTTCTGATTATGCAATCAAGACAATTCGTCTTGGCAATGCTGATGAATTTACGTCTCAAGCTTTTAATGAATATTGCATGTCAATTGGAATAAATGTTGAACAATCTGTTAGTCATGTTTATACACAAAACGGTCTAGCAGAATCATTTATCAAACGCCTTAAATTGATTGCAAGGCCATTACTTATGAAATCCAAACTCCCAATTTCTGCTTGGAGACATGTCATTTTGCATGCAGCAGTACTTGTACGCATCAGGCCAACGAGTTATCATAAATTCTCCCCTATACAATTGGTTTATAGTCAGAAACTAAATATTTTTCATCTAAGAATTTTTAGATGTGCGGTATATGTTCTAATTACTCCACCACAATGCACAAAGATGGGTCCTCAAAAGAGGTTAGGAATATATGTTGGATATAAATCTCTATCTATAATTAAATATCTAGAACCTTCAACAGGAGATTTATTCAGTGCAAGGTTTGCTGATTGTCAATTTGATTAAATAATTTTTTCAACATTAGGGAGAGAAAATAAGCAGTTGAAAAATGAAATATCTTGGAATACATTATCATTATGTATTATTGATCTTTGCACAAATCAATGTGAACAAGAAGTTTAAAAGATAATTCATTTGCAGAATATAGTAAATCAGTTGCCAGACGCATTTTCTAACCTAAAAAGAGTGACAAAATCTCATATATCAACTGCAAATATTCCAATCAGAATTGATGTAGGACAATCTATTATTATTTATGAGTCTAAGACACGCCAGAAGCATGGAAGATCAATTGATTTCAAAGATACAAATCCTCGAAAAAAAAAGGAGCAAATATTCAAGATGGTCAAGAAAAGGAAACAAAAACTCCAGAAGAGACCCCTGACATAGTTTCAAAAGAAATTCAGGTACCTGAAATTAGTGAAAATGAAAAAATCTCAATAAATTATGTCATGATGAGAAAAAGACGAAACTGAAATGAAATAAACGTCGACGATATTTTTTCATACAATGTAGCGCTCAATATTATGAAAGAAAATGAGGATCTTGAACCTACATCTGTTGAAGAATGTAGATATAGAAATGATTGGCCAATGTGGAAAGACGCAATCAAAGTAGAATTAAATTCACTTGCAAAACATGAAGTTTTTAGACCTGTAGTCCGTACACCAAATGACGTAAAATCAGTGAGATATAAATGGGTATTTGTGCGAAAACAAAATAAAAAATATGAGATTGTGAGATATAAAGCACAGCTTGTCGCACAAGGTTTTACCCAAAAACCTGATATCGATTATGAAGAGACATATTCTCCTGTGGTAGATGCAATTACATTTCGATATTTAATTAGTCTGACAATACATGAAAAGCTTGAAATGCGTTTGATGGATGTAATCACAGCCTATTTATATGGCTCACTTGATAATGATATTTATATGAAGATCCTTGAAAGATTTAAGTTTCAAGAAGCACAAAATTTGAATTCTCGAGAGATTTATTTGATCAAATTAAATAAATTTTTATATAGATTAAAATAATCTGGACGTATGTGGCATAATCGCCTTAGTGAATATTTATCGAAATAAGGCTATAAAAATGATCTTATATGCCTATGTGTTTTTATAAAAAGATTTAGCTATGAATTTGTGATAATTGCTGTTTATATTGATGATCTAAACATTATTGGAACTCCTGAAAAGTTATCAAAAGTCGTGGATTACTTAAAGAAAGAATTTGAA